AAAATTCAAATTTCTCCTCTTATCTGAAAATTGTGACTTATTTGCGCCTATTTTCTAAGTGAAACAAAAATTCTGACTAGTTTGATTCTTCTATGAGAAGTGTGGGTTCCAATTTTGGCAATCATTAGCAAAATCTTCTTGTTCCAGACATTTGGTTTTGAAAGTCACTTTTTTTAAATTAATGTTTGTTCGTTTATTTCAAATGCAGATCATGATTTTGCAAAAAAGGATTTTAGAAGTTTGGACCTTCTTAAGCACACATTTAAGACTTCAGTTGTCTATGGAGAATTCCAAAAAACTTCTCGATAGTAAAATGCTGCTACCCTGAACAGATCCGGCATTTTTATGTAGTTTTCAGGGATTTGGTCTGGTCAGTGACGGAATTAGATTAATTTTTTCGCCCAGCTTTTATTCGTTATTCATTATCAGAGCTGCAGAATATTTAATTTTGCAATTATTAAACGTTGTTTTTACTGCGCGTTTTTTATGCTGCATCCGAAATGACCTGACAAGTCAGACAATATATCAACCGAAAACTAATTTCAACTTGAAACCGAACGCGATTTGCATTTGATGGCGAACTCCAATTTTTTTCTAGAAATGTATGCAAGCAAAAAACAGTCTGCTGAACAAATTGGCTACACTGGACTGACCTACCTTGAAGAACTAGTGCCGGTTGGCCAAAAAGCACAAATTAGATCTTTTGCAAGGACTCGCCATGGCCAGACTATTGGATTTCTGTTTGTTAATAGTTCAGTTAATTTTACGAGCTTGTCTGAGGAATATCGCTGATTTATGGCTAAACAATTTGACTTCAAACCAAAATATTCCATATTTTATCTCTAGATAAATCAGCACCTGAGCAGGGTTTATCCCGCCCCTGAAACACGCACCGCAACTTTATCAATCTTAATAACACAAATAAAGGAAAAGTTTGGCCGCTTCGTAAGAAAGGAAACCGAAAGTGTGACCTATTACGACAACATCGCATCATCAGAAAATAAAGTTCATAAAGTTTTCCCGACCGTGACCTAACTCAACGGGGATTCCTTCCACTTTTATCCATATCAATGGCGCACCCAACCGGGAAAAGCAACCGCTCTTAAGAAAGGGAAAGCGCGATGGAATATCGGGCACTGGGTTGAAAGTGCATCGGGAAATGTCAGGGGCGTGCATTAATTGCAAATTTTCCAATAAAAAAAATTCCCAATGTACGATTCGTTGTAAACTATCTCATTTGCCTCTTGGGGTTGAGAAGTGCCAGTTTGCTTGAAGGTTCTTTATCACATTAAACAGCATTTGAAGAGACACTAAACATGGTGAAATTACGCCAGCTCTGGCCAAATTTATCCTGCCACTAACACAGATTTTTTATCCTTCCAACAGATATAACACATTTTCCGTTAACCCAGTTCACACAAGTTCCAGACGAAGAGATTCACTTTTGGCACACACTCTCTTTTAAAACAAAACTTTTTCCGCCGCTGGGGTCAATCGAAACGTTAAGAAGGGTAAAGATCCCTTGTGGACCCGACCCAACCTGTTACTTGGGTCCCTACTTACGTTAAGCTTTCCACAGAAATTAATGGACGATTAACCCTACTACTTTGCTCGGGTTCGTTTAAGAAAAGAGCTTACAGAAAAACAATTATGGATCAGTTTTTTGCTCATAATTTTCGCTAATGTTAATGTCCGGGTTTTTGCTCTTGATTATTTTCATTCATCACTGGAATTATTAATGCCGGTATTACAGAACGCACTTTTCCCCGATTTATTGGCCAATAAACTGGCCAAATTATTGACGTCCTCTTCTTGGTCGT